AAATATAAAAAAATATTCAAACTATAATGTTAGTTTTTTTTTTACAATGGCTATGACAGTTTTTTCAATACATTTAACAAATTTGCTAAACTCTTAATGCAGCAACACACCTAAAACACATTGGCAAAACAATTAATTTCATGCTCAAAATCACACATTGTAAACTAAACCCCAAAACTAATGTTCAAAATACTATAATAAACTAACACAATACACCATGTCTAACACTGCAAACATGAATCATAATCAAATCATTATTCAAAACACTAACACGTGCTCTTCTAACAGGAACATTTAGTCAATCATAACACATTGACAAAAAACAAAACACTCTCATCAGCTATCATTACAGAGACTGCATTATTATACGTGTCAGCTCTGCCCTTATATCTGAAGCCTCTCTACATTTTTGTTTTGTTGGGTTTGGTAAATGCATGCATTTTCTTTCTTTTGCTGCAGAAATTCAATACAAAAAATAAACGACCATCTCAGAGCAGCTTTATAAAATGCACAGTTTATGTACAAACAAAAATACAAACACAGAATTGCTAAAGTACAGACTTAATTTGCAAAAGGACATCACTGCAAGATATACACACAGAACAAGCACTGGAATTATATAAAAAAAAAAAAAACTAAGTAATCTTCTATTCTACTCTGTCTTGTGCATTTGCCCAGCTTCTTTGTTCTCTGGCCCTGCACGGTAACTGTGGCCCTTTGGCCTATTATGTTTCTCCCACAGCGACGCCTTTTCGTCAAGTTGAAGCCAGCCTCGTCAACATAGATAATTTCATGTGTGACTTGATTAGCCTCCAACTCCACGACTCTCTGAAAGTAATTAGACACTGTGTCACACTGTACTGTATATCTACTGTATGTACTCATGAACTGCAGGTTTATAGAGTAATTTACTGCAAAACACACTGTGTATAGTACAGTAATGACTTTATTGCATAACCTTACCTGGACATATTGGTGACGGAGTTCTTTGATGCACTCACTGTTCCTTTCAAAAGCCCAAAGAGTCCTCTTTTAGAAAAAGTATGATCATGTGTGAAACCTCAACACATGAGTGTGCTTTCTAGATAGGAATCAGCTTTGATATATATATAAAACTGAAATAAGCAATGGAATAAAATACAGGAAATATATTTGTGTCTACATTCACAATATAAACAGCTGTTCACTTTGACTTTAGCCTAGATAAGTTGTGTTTAGAACATGATGTTATCCGTTCTGACATACTGTGTGAAAGCATTGTGAATTTGATGTAAAATTACATTGTTTTGGTCTTGGTTGTGCTTGTGTGTAAAAAAGGTTCGAGCAATTTAAATTGGCGTTAAATGGATGCATTTTGTGTAAAAGCAAAGCAACAATAAATGTGTTAATTGTATAACCCATGAAGACAGATGTTGTGCTAACTGTGTTGAGAGTTTAGAAAACTTGTTAAATGTAGTGAAAAAAACGGTCATAGCCATTGTAAAAAACTGTAATAGATCATGCATTCGGTCTGTTGACTGTTTATTCATTCCTTCATTTTCTTTTCGGCTTAGTCCCTTTATTAATCTGGGGTTACCACAGCGGAATGAACCGCCAACCCATCCATGATCCAGCATATGTTTTATGCAGCGGATGCCCTTCCAGCTGAAACCCATCACTGGGAAACATCCATACACAGTCATTCACTCACATACACTACCACCAATTTAGCTTACCCAATTCACCTATAGCACATGTCTTTGGACTGTGGAGGAAACCGGAGCATCCAGAGGAAACCACTGGGAGAACATGCAAACTCCACACAGAAATGCCAACTGACTGAGCCGGGGCTCGAACCAGCGACCTTCTTGCTGTGAGGTGAACGTGCTACCCACTGCGCCACCGTGACACCCCTGTTGACCGTTTACTTAAAAATAAATTAAAACATTTCTTAATTGAGTAATCAGTGAGCAACAAACTGAGCTACGAGAATTTATTTTGCCACAAAAATCCCTTATACAAGATTATCATCCTGAGCATATGAAGCATTTATAAGGATAGTTCACCCCTCCAAAAAAGAAAATTCTGCCATCATTTGCTCACCCTTCACTTGTTCCAAAGCAGTTAACATTATATTTGTTCTGATAAACACAAAAGAAGATATTTAGAAGAATGTTAGAAACCAGTAACCATTGATATCCAAATTAGAAAAAAAATACTATGAAAGTCAATGGTTACAGGTTTCCAACATTCTTCAAACTATCTTCTTTTGAGTTCAAGAGAACAAAAATCAAGCAAAATAGTTTGAAACAAGTCAAGAGTGTGTAAATGATGGCAGAATTTAAATTTTTAGGTGAACTATCCCTTCAAGTTACAGAATAATTGGACAATACATGACCATAAGGAGAATTATATGTGTAAGAGGCAGAGCTTGTGAAGTGTGTTTATCAGAAAGTCTTATATGATCAATAAGTTAATGAATGAATAATTGTTTTGTATTGAGTGTGCCAAAAATACATTACATTACAACTGCAAAAATGTATTTTAAACCCCTTAATGACTCAACATTTAAATGAAAGAAATACAATTTGTCTTAATCCTTGAGCTTGTATACTTCTTAAATGCAGATATTAATACCTAAAATAAATACATTGGAAATCTATAAATAATTCATCAGGCCAAGTATTAAGTAACATGAAAAGCCTTCTCTAACCAAACTTCCAAAAAAAAAAAAATATCCTGACTTACAGGAGGTGACGAACTCCAGCCCCTGCCGCACTGCTTGGTTTTGTATTTTTCCAGGCAGGTAGTCACCAAGACCAGTTGTGCTCAGTGAGATAAAACAAAAATACAGCGACTCCAGGTATGTCCAGTCGTCTTCCAGCAGGCAGAGAGCAGCAGCGGGCAGCAGGAAGAAGAGTGCGGCTGTACAAAAGCCGAGGATGCTGCAGTGCAGGAGCGCAGCGTTGCTACGGGACAGACCCCAGAACAGCTGCAAGTTCTGGATAGGGGTGTGAGTTACTCGGGGCAGAAGGGCATGAGTGAGGCAGGAAAGCAGCAGCATGGTGAGAGGGATTCCCACGAGACAATAAACCACACAGAACACACGGCCCTCGTCTGAAAGGGGCACGGTGGTGCCATAACCTGCAAAAGAAACTTGGAGAGTAAAGATTTTGCGGATTTTTTTTCATTAAAGAATATCATAAACTGTCAACCACACAATAAAATAAAAAAATAAAAAAATCAACCAAATCTGTCAATCAAATTACTTATCACTCTCTAATTATTATTATTAATGCAAATTTCTAATCAGCCAATCACATCGCAATCACATGTAAACCTGCTCAAGAAGATCTGCAGATCAAACTGATCATCAGAATGTAAAAGAAAAGTGATTTTAGTGACTTTGAACATGGCATGGTTATTGGTGTCAGATGAGCTGGTCTGAGTATTTCAGAAACTTCTGATCTACTAGGATTTTCACCCACAACCATCTCTAGGGTTTAAAGAGAATGGTCTGAAAAACAGTGAGTGGCAGTTCTCTGAGCGCAAATGTCTTGTTAATGCCAGAGATTAGAGGAGAATGGATGTGCAGCCGATAAATCTGCAGCAACTACGTGATGCTATCATGTCAATATGGACCAAAATCTCTGAGAAATATTTCCAGTGCCTTGTTGAATCTTTGCCACAACGGATTAAGGCAGTTCTGAAGGCAAAAGCGGGTTCCACCCGGTACAAGTAAGGTGTACCTAATAAAGTGGCCGTTGAATGTATGTGCAAATATTAACACTTCTTAAATACGACTTTTAATTATATCATGGATTTGGAAAAAAAGCTTCTTCTAGCAAGTTCTGAAGGGATAATTAACTTAACAAACATAAATGAAGCGTTTTGTACTGTTAAATCTTGAAAGTATAATAAATATTTAAAGTATTAACTATAAATGGATACATTTGGCAGATTCACTGTATACTCAACAGAAAAGAATATGCTTCATCTTGAAAGTTCAAATCCATGCATAAACTAGTAACAAATTTTTGTATGCCGAGTGTTTAGATTAAAACATTAAGATAAAAAATTGTTTAAAATATAAATATAATTAGATCATGCATTTGGTAAGTTGACTGTATAATTACAGGGGAAACATTAATAAATAAACAAATAAATGCATGAATATATAAATACAGTCCATACATGCCAGTTGCATGCCAAATATGTAGACTAAAAATAATAAAAATAAATTGTTTTTCAGATAAACAATAAATAGATCATGCATTTGGTTTACCTGAAACAAACAAAACAAAACAAAAAACACGCTTTATCCAAAATCATTAGGAAAATAAATATACAATAAATAAACAAATAAAGGTAGTGTACAAATTGTGTAGCTCTAGACTTAATGTTGAATATATTAATATTAAAAATTAAATAAATAAATTACAATCTTTAAAATTAAAAGACAGATAAGTACACAAACACAAAGTATTTTAATGAATAAACAGACCTCTATATAGGTTATATGTATTTTGATCAAACCTAAACATGGATCATGAACCAATTGACTGTATAGTGAAAGTGAAAAAACATAAATAATTCTAAAACACACATTAAAAACTGCAATAAAGTGCTAAACACAATTTTACAGTCAATTGCTGCTTCTATTCTGCCTCATTTACCAACACATGACATTACATAACACTAAAATAGTTGTGATCAATAAATGTGTAGCAATAGTTTTATATGAGAACTGATGACCGATGCTGTTTATAGAAGGGATACAGCTGCAGCCGGATCAAGAATTATGCCATTTATTAAATTGCACATTAATTGCATTTTATTAACGTCTACCCCTAACCCAGTAATGTAAAAACAGTAATTATAACAAGCATTATTCATATTATTTATTAAATTACTCATTCAATTGCATTTTAATAGCACCTACCCCATCCTAACCCTTCACTGTAATGTAAAACTATTAATTAAACCAAGTATTATTTATCAAATTACCCATTAAACTGTATTTAATTAGCGCCTACCACTCACAGTAATGTAAAAATGTTAATTATTGTTGTGCAGAGTCACAAAAAATTACGCTATGTCCACGTGCGAATCCACTATTTGGCCCCAACGGCCTTCCATAATCTACAGTTGTATCCCATCTAGCCGCTGCTCACCTGTGGTCGTGAGGAAGGTGATGACGAAAAACAGCGACGACGTAAAGTCGAAATTACACTCGTCACTGTCTGCTTGGAGTGCAGCCACACCGCGTTTACTAGCAGACAGCACGTCCATTAACAAACCATCCAAACTTCGCTCCTCAACACACGGGTTATCTGCCAGAAAACGAGCTTTCAGTTCACGGACCTCTTGAACCAGCAAATTCTCCTCAGGTTGCTCAAGTACCATCAAAACAACAGCGCCCATGACGATAAACAAGCCGTACGCGACCATCAGAAAGATGAACGCGTGAACACGTAGGAAAGTCAGAGCTTTATCCGCAAGAACAGCCATTGTTAAACTACATTTGTGTGTGTATTACCTCGGTGCAGGTGTGCTGCATGTGTAACCAAACCTGGGCTCTGACATGGAGAGTTCAACACCATGCTGAAAGTTTAATGCAGCGGGTCAGAAGACATCTGTGACACCAGCAGACTGTTCTCTAAAACACAACCTAAAGCAAATATTTTAATTAGATTTTCAATTGAACAAAAGTCAATACATGCAAGTGTGTAGAAAATATACAAACAATAGCCAATCAGTCTCAATAATAAGTATGTGGCTTGCTTCAAAAAGTCTCCAGAAGCTATAGAAATGAAATGTAATCAGGTAATCTCTGAAAATACGTCTTTAAAACATCAGATCATAATCCAGGGTGTCCGCGGGATCTTAAACAGCATTAAAAGTTGATAAATCAATCCAGAGAAATTTAAAGCCCTTAAAAAGTCTTAAATGCTATTTTGCAAGTTATTACATTCTATCTTTTTATTGATTATGCAATGTATAAAGTCTTCCTGAATTAAATCTGCTAATATCAGGACGCTGTGTAGTGAAATCAATGAAATCCTACTAGATGACATCCTGCTGCTTTGTTTACAGTAACCAATGCAACACCATTATTTCTGCAGTTCTATAGGCGCCAATCTGCTGAATTAGCTAGATTTAATAGATTTTTAATTAGTATATGAATAATGTTTTAGTTTTGGATTAGTTTCTTACATTATTATTTAGTAAATATACTGTAAGTTAAAATCTCGCCAGGTTCCAGTTAAAGCCTAAAGTGGTTAAATGGTCTTAAAATGTATGGAAAGTCTTAAAAACGGTCTTAAAATTTTTACTCTCTGATTCCTGTTATCAAGATTTCTCTAAAAAGTCACTATTTTCTTTGAGAGTACAATTTTTTTTGAATAAAAATAGAGAACATTTGCTCTTTATTCACAAGATGTAGCTGATATTTCTACTAAAATAATAACATTTAACATTATTTAGCTGAAACCTTGGACTTTTGTGGACAAAAAGATGAACAAAAGTCGATGGCTTGTAGCACTTTGAGTGTTGAAAAACATATACAGACAAAACTAAATTAATACATGTGGCTCCTGATGATACAATGAGGTCTTCTGAAGTGAGATGAATTGTCAGAGCAAAAATGTATATATGAAGAGTTCAGATGCAAAACCCTCTAAATGCTGTCTGGAATTTTCTCCTAAAATTAGCTTTTTTTTTTTCTCAGCCATCTCTGTTTATGTTCAGTTATTTCACTTTAAAGGCGATAAAAAGAACTTAACCGTTACTATAAAAGAAAAATTAGTGAGCCTACACACAGGAATCTGAGAAAAATGCTAATTTTAGAAGAAAATATCAAACTGCATTTAGAGATTTTTGCATCTGAACTCTTCATATATATTTTCACAAGTAACTTAATTTATTTTATTCTACAGCAAATGGTCCTGAGTACATCAACAGTAAAGAGCATGGCCTTCATGTTGCATAATGATGTATGCAAACTCAATGCAGTGTTTTGCTCAAATAAAAGAGAAAAATGACTTAAGCTGCGGCCACTCTGGTCTTTTCTCCCCATAGACTTTCATACGCATACCATTCATACGCATGCGAATGCGTTAAACCGAAAACGCAAGCTTGTGCGATAAGTTTTGCAGTTCGTTACGTTGCAAAGTTCAAGCCTGACCTGCGAAATCGCATCTCTTGGCTGCGTGAGATCAATCAAGGATCAAAACCTGACCTCTCTGTACAGGAATTTAAAATATGGTGCAATCGCTCACTTTTAAAATGTCTAATCATCTTGTTTTATTTCACCCCTTTTCGCAGCGCCGTACTACAGAATTTCACATGCTCAAACTCTAGTGTGACCGCAGCTTTACCAATTCCAAAAAAAAAAAAAACTTACTCCCATGGCTGTTTATATCGAAGTTGATATTTAGCTGCACCATATTGGTGTTTCGTAACATCTATTTTTTTTATGAGGGGAGTTGTTAGCCCAACGCTCAACCCCTAATCTGGAGGACCAGGACATACTCGCATACACTACAGACAATTTAGCTTGCTCAATTCACCTACAGCACATGTCTTCAGACTTGTGGGAGAAAACGGAGCACCTGAAGGAAACCCACACAAACACGGGGAGAACATGCAAACTCCACACAGAAATGCCAGTTGACCTAGCCGGGGCCCGTACCAATGACCTTCTTGCTGAGAGGTGACAGCGCTACGCACTGCACCACACTTCCCCCCCAAAAAAATGATAAAAATCCTTGCCACTATTACAAACCACATAATAGAGACAACAAAATAATATCTTTTGCCGACATTACATAATGTATTTATTTTTAGCAGTCTATTCATTGTAAAAACGTCACTCTCATACAAACATACATACTGTAATAACTAAAGCCAATGAAGCAGTATTTGCTCATCTTCATCCTTTGAGAACATTAAATATACACTTAAACTGTCACTATCATCATCAGTAGATTCAAACATAAGTATGAAATAATTCAAAGTAAAATCTACTGATCAGAATCAGAAGAGTAATTCAAAAACGGCCATTCAAAAACATCTCCCCTCTAAAATAATATTTGCCTCATCTGCGTAAAGCACTTCGAAAAGCCGTAGCTAGGGCTGTCGCGATACTGGAATTTGGTGCCAATCAATACTGGAATTTTAAAAACGTTCAATTCTCGTAAAAATTCCTTAGAAATCACTGATTTTTGCCATCGTGTTCACATGCTCAACAGAAATGACTGTGATTTGCCGTGAAGGTCATCAGTTCACTGAATTCACCGCTGTTTACTAAGTGTAACCATAGATACAGTGACACTGGGTTGTTCTAATTCATCACTCGTAGGTCAGCTTATAGACAAACCAGCTGATCGACGTGACTCCAGTGTCCCTGTATCTGTGTTTACACTCAGTAAACAGCTGTGAGTTCGGTGAACTGATGACCTTGACGGCCAATCACAATCAATAGTTTGCGGGAAAATGGACGCTTTTAAAATTCCAGTATAGATTGTTACCGAATTCCAGTATCATGAAAAACCTAAATGTAGCAAATAATCGTTTCAGAAATCAAGTATGAGATCTAAAAAAAAAAAAGCATTACTATTTTCTCTTGAATGGTTTCTGAGCTTAGTTTTTTTAAAAAGATGGCGATGTATGCTTTACAAACAATTGTACTCTGCTTGCATCTAATTCCTTATGAATACCACTTAAACCTAAAATTAATCAAGTTTAAGTGGATTCACAGTGAGCTGTTTAAATTATTCTTATCTGTTGTTAAAATCAGCTCAGAATCAATTCAAGAGGGAATAGTGATGCATCTTGAAAAAAAAACGTATGCTTTACAAACAGCTGTACTCTGCTTGTATCTAATTTCTTGTTGTTTTCCCAACCCTGTTCCTAAAAACACACCAACAGCACACCTTTTCAACCTCTCCCTAATCAAACACACCTGAATAAACTCATTGGAACATTATAAGAGACTTCAAAACCTGAAGTTAATGGGTCAGATAAGGGTGACATCCAAAATATGTACTGTTGGTGTGCCTCCAGGAACCGGGTTGGGAAACACTGCCATTCAAATACCACTTGAACCTAAAATAATTATTAATAAGGTTTTAGTGAATACATAATGAGCTGTTTAAATTATTCCCATCTGCTGTTAAGATTATCCCACAATCATTGAAGAGAGAATAGTGATGCATTTTGAATATCAAAAACATTTTAGTATTAGTATTTATATCTGTATTACTCAAATGCAGCCACCAGATGAGATGTCACTGGAGTCTCGTGTTTCTAAAACGTCCCATACGTCACCCTCAGGATTTAAAGAGGCAGGTGAAGTGAGTAATGTGAAGACGTCCAGCGGCGCACAGGTTTGCTGACCCTCCCGATGACCGGCAGCTTGTGGGCGTAAGCGCGGGGTGGGAGCGAGGTTAGAGGGGGAGTTGGGGAAAAACTCGTCTGAAAGCGTCGGCCCTGACAGCGTCGGCCCATTTGACGCCCGCCAATGATGAAAGAAAAAGCAGGAGGTCCAGCCTGAGGCAGTGGGAAACGGGCTTTAGGGAAAATGTCTCTGGATTGACTGCTCGAGCGTCCGGGACGTGATGAAGATGACCTGGAACGTGAGACGGATGATGAGGACGAGGACGAGCGGGCAAGAGATCTGCAGACACAGGACAAAAGGAATATTAATGAATAGCATTCGGCATATACAGCTAAAAAATCAAAAATATTAGCCCTCCTGTCAATTTTATTTTCTTTTTCAAATATTTCCCAAGTTTACCAGAGCCAGGAATATTTCACAGTATTTCCTATAATATTTTTTTCTTCTGGAGAAATTCTTATTTCTTTTATTTCGGCTAGAATAAAAGCAGTTTTTAATTTTTTAGCCCCCTTAAGCCACATTTTAATTCTAATACATGAAAAACAATATATAAAAAATGTCAATTTTAATTCTAATAATTCAGGAGGGCGGCTGATAATTGTGACTTCAACTGTAGTTTGGAGATTTTACAGCAGAGACAAAAGCTGCTGATCTGTTTCCTTTTCTATTGTGTCCTTTAATATTCTGTCTCTCTAAAACAATTATTCATTGGCTTTATAAATGTCACTCTAAGCCATATTTCAAATTTTCTGACTCTTTTTTTTTTTTTTGTAAGATTTATGTTTGGCCTTTTTGCCTTTATTAGACAGGACAGTATGGAGACAGGAAGCGAAAAGGCTGAGTTTCCATCACCTATCACCATCACCCTATGAATAGTATTGGCAGTTGTTGTGTTAAGCAGTTTCTCTAAAATTGATAAATTCTGCTATCATTGAATTAAACGCAAAATCAAGCAAACTTAAAAGGAGCTTGCACACTTTTTATTTGCTACAGATGTCCTGCACTTTTGGAAAGTCAGGACACTTGTTAAATTCCTCACATCATCTGTGCAAAATATAAATCATCTTAAATATTTACACTTTAAAAAATAAAGGGTTTTGTACACATTTGCACTTAAAGGGTCAATGGTGATACCTCAAATGTACATATTAGTTCCCAAAAACTTAAAAACTAATGTTTTTTTTTTCCTGCTAAGCAACATATAGGGATAGTTTTAGGCAATAAGAAACTGCATGATCTGTTTAAAAAAAGTGTGGTATGTGAAGAAACTGCCTTATCTCCTGCACAATATTAACAATATAGAAAATCTAATTAATTAAAATTTTCTAAAATATTTGTTAAAACTGGTTTAAATGTAGACAATGATGTATATACACATGTTAAAATGCTTTATTAAGAAGTCTTCTGAAAAGGAAGTAGCATTATATATTTTTACTTTAATCAAATCATGTGTAACCTATATTTACATGATTTCACCACTTTAAAATTTACTGGGTTTTTTTTATATAATTATTATTTTTAGGGGTTTTTAACCTTTATTTTCACATCACATTATAGTGCAGGCAAGAAAGCAAGGAGCGGAAGGATCGGCAAAGGACCTTGAGCCAGGAATCGAACTCCGGTCACCTCAGTGCTATGTGTCGATACACTAATAACTAGCTTATTGCGAAAAATAACTTTATGCCAACAAAATTTTCTGTATTTGAAATGTAATTTATTTACTTAAAAAAAATATTTTTAACAGTATCTAAATCAACTAAAGTATCTAAACAGTATATTTTACATTATCTAAATTAGCAAGCTTATTTTTGAAATTTCTGCACATGAACTGCAATTTGTCTACCTGTTTTCACTTGCAATCTGATCACGAAAACGCATCTTAAAGGCATAGTTAATCCAAAACTGAAACTACTTTCATCATTTACTGACATCATTGAAAAAGAGAAAAAAGAGATTTTAAAGAAAGCTGGAAACCTATAACCATTGACTTCCACATTGTAAATCCCAAAAAGTTAAGGTAACTCAAACCATTTGAGGAAACCGATTGAAACAAACTATTTAAGTTCAAAAACTAATCCTAATGAGTACCGTGAACTTGATCCATTTGAGTAAACGAAGCAATTTGAGCACAGTAAACTGTGTACTTGAGTACTGTAAAACCCAATAGGTTAAGGCAACTCAAACCGTTTGAGGAAAAAGATTGCTGCAAACCCTACGAGTTAAAAAACTAATCTATATGAGTACTGTGAGCTTACTCCATTTAAGTTGAAGTAATGAGGTATTCAATTAACTCTACCTTTAACACTGAGTTCAAAACTCTTTTTCAAATGAGTAGAATTAACCTTTTCTGCAATTTTGAGTTAACTACACTCATTTGATAAAGTTGGCTGTTTATTTACAGTGCATAGTTTTTGTTTTCATTTCTATCATTTTTGTCTAACAGAAACCTCTGTGAAGTTGGCACCCCATACAAATAAATAATCCCTAAAACTACTGAAAGCTGTTTGTTTCTATTTTCCTTATTTAGATATAAACAAAATATTCCGGAAGCCATGATGTCACTTTCCAAGCCAGTTCTCCTAAATCTCACAAAAATGCTTTCAATTTGTGGTGTTCGATTTGAGCAGCACAAATGAAAATTCTACCCGTCCTGCCAAACAACAGAATTTAGATATTTTGGTTAAATTTGAAGTAGCAAACAGGTTTGGAGAGATTTGTATGGCATTGGGTGTTCAGTGACGTCACTGCTTCGAATTCTGAAAACATATTTGAAGATAATTTCAAAGACAAATCCAGCACTGTCGAATGTCACTGGTTTTGGCCAATTTAAACCAACTGAGGAGAGTGAAAATTTTGAGTAGGCTATCTAAATAGGGGAAATAGATACAGTGTTTGCTTTAACGGCACAAACCAGCACGAACAAATGACACCAGTTTTGTGCATATTAGGGAAATTGGGGTGGAAAGAGACGTCATGGCTTCCAAAATATTTTGGTTTGAATGCAAACGAATTGTGCTGATTTGGAGCAAGTTGAGCAACTTGGAGTATAAAGTGACGTCACATGGTCGAAAAAATAATAAAAATAATATCTCGCCAATCATCTCAGCACAAACATCTATGTGGCATACAGTAGTTTTGGGGATTATTTATTTTAATGGCATGCCAACTTCACGATGGTTTGCCAGACGAAGGTCTGGAACCACTTGAGGATGATTAAACACATAGTGATTAAAATATCTCTTTACCACCAAAAACTGGGCCAATTTTAATTTTCTGTTGTTGCTTGATTCCTACCTCCCCGGGACAGTAGCAGCCAGACTAGGAGGCTGTGGTTCAGTACGTGGGCTTCCATCTTGCCGTGGGCTTATATTCATGCTGGCTGTCAGCTGGGGCATTTTTCGAGTGCTCTCAAGATTAGGGGCAGCAGTTGCAGTCTCTTTTCTGCCCTCTAGAGGCTGACTGGGACCTGCAGGTGCAGCGCCAGCTAGTGGCGGGTCAGTGCTGAAGCGCACTGCCAGACTGTCTCCAAAAAACGAGTAGAGTTCACAGTACATGGCAGGAAGAGATACAGGCGTCCACTCCTCCCATGGGCAGCCGGCTCCACCTGCTTGAAGATGGCTTGCAATGCCAAGTGGAGGTTCGGAAAGAGGTTCTGGTGGTGGGCTGAGGCCCGGCGAGTTTTCTCTAAACCCGACAGCTCCTGTAACAGAGCCCGAAAGAGCAGCACTGCCTCCTTCTGCAGCCAGGGTCAGACTGAGTGCCTTCATCTTCAGCAAACGCTCTACCGCCACCTTCAGGGAGGAAAAGAAAGTAGGCTGTTCATTTTAATAGTTTCCGTTTCTTAATCACGTTCCTGGAGGACCACCAACACTGCATGTTATGGATTTCTCCTTTGTCTGACACACCCACTACAGTTATTGTAATGTTTGTGAATGAGCTGAAGATCTGAATCAGGTGTGTTTGGTTAAGAAGACAGGGAAAACATTCAGAGTCGTTGATTCTTGATGAGAGATGAGAGTGAACTGCCATCAAAGCTTAGCATGATACTACTGTAAATACATGAACAGAGGCATCTCCAGTATTCTATTCTGTTTTTTTGTTTGTTTGTTTTTTAAAACAAAACCAGGATGATGCATTTATTTAAATGGAAAAAATGCAGCGAGAAACGTTTCATGCTCTGTTGCAGCTTTAATTACATGGGAGAAGGGGCTAAATTAATATATGCCAGAATAGCCAGAATAAATGGCAGAATAAGCTTAAGTTACAGTGCATAAGTACACTGTGTATAAATAAATTCATAGTGAAAAATGTAGGGCTCCATGATATTCAAACATTTTTTTTGCAATCCATTTAGATACATGAAAACATTTTACCCAATTACTAAATTAGATTTTTCTGAGCTTTAATTATTTTGTATTGATTAGGATAATTTCTCAGTACTGGGTTGCGGCTGAAAGGGCAACCGCTGCAAAAAACATAAGCCAGAGTAGTTGGAGGTTCATTCTGCTGTGGTAACCCTTGATAAATCGGGGACTAAGCAGAAGGAAAATAAATGAATGAATGAATGAATGAATAGGATGATTTTGTAAGGAAGTGTAATTATATAAGTTATTATAAACAAATTAGAACCATAGATATATAACAGACACAAATTAAATAAGCTATCCTTTGTTTTCTGAAGGAGTCTAACATTTCTGTTTCTAACGTTTCTGTATTTAGTTACAGAAATTAAAGAATCAAACTATATTTTATAAATAATAATATAATACAATAATAATAATAATAAATATAATAATAATAATAAATATAATAATAATAATAAATGTTAGTAGTGTTTTGTGTCTGAATGGTTTAAACTTGAAATTCTCACAGTCCCAGGCCATAAAAACACATGTAATGAACAGTCACTTTGTTAAGGTTAAACTTAATTATAACAACTATAATACGACTCAACACCGAATATCCTGCTTTGTGACTATTGCAGATGCACCCATTGCAAAATAAATGACTAATGACTAGTTTCCCCCATATTTTCCTGCCCTACTTGAAAAGATCAGAGACTTCATACTGCATTTCATGCACTACAGAATTAAGCCCCAGTCACACTGCACTTTTCTCCCCATAGACTTCCATTCATATGCATGCGAATGCAGCAGACCGAAAATGCAAGCTCGTGCGACAAGTTTCGTAGTTCGCTGTGTTGGAAAGTTCAAGCTTGGTGAACTCTGACCTGCAAAATCGCATAATGTGATTGCGTGAGACCAATAGAAGATTAAAACATGACTTCTCTGTACAGGAATTTAAAATATGGAGCAATCGCTCACTTTTTTTAATGTCTGATCATCTTGGTTAATTATGCCCCTTTTCACAGCGCCTTACGACAGAGTTTCGCACACTCAAACTCTAGTGTGACTGCAGCTTTATTACTTACTAGAATGGCTCCATACACTTTGTGCCCATCAGCTTTCACCTGAGCATTAGACACAGAGTAATCATCCAACACAGCTTGCAGATTGGCCCAGTAGGCAGGGAGGTGGGGATAGAGTACACGTTCAACAGCCTGTCAAAACACAAACAAACAAATAAATAAATAAACAAACAGTGTGACGTTTAGGTGTAAAGCTTGTGTTTGTGTTTATGTGCGTTTTTCTGTTTGGGCTTCACCTTCCAGCCAAGGGCATGCAGACCCACTACAGCTCCATAGTGAGAACAGAGAGGCCTAACTGGGTCGGACAGGACTTTTTGCAGAGAGAGCAGGATCTGATGGTACAGGCCGCTCACCAGATCACCATGTGTCCTACAAGATAGCATAGATGAAACAACCAGTCAGACCAGTTTTTGACAGATTCAATTATTCAAAAAAAAAAAAAGAAGCTTAAACTCAAAAAAAAAAAAAAAATTGTTGCATAAGAAAGAGGGGGGGTAATGTTTTTGAATCTAAAAGGTCTGTGTCATTTTATAAATCATCATGTACAATAACTGGAGTTACCGTCACCCCAAAATAAAGTGTTTCTGAATTGATTTTTTTTTTTTTTTTAAAGTGATTCCAGGCTTATTTCCTGCACAGACCAACATAGGCAGTGCTATAATCTGCATTTGCTGGCCACGGATAACATTTGACCCTCAAATACTATAGTTGCATCTGTAAAAGTGTTGTTTTGCTTTGCATGCAATTCCAAAGGATGTGGACTTGATATAAATCTATACAATAAAATCTACACTGTTGTTACTTTTTGTATCACTGTATTTACAAAGGCCAAGTAACCCTCAAAAACCACAATAAGCCACTGTCACACTGGACTTTTCGCCTCATGGACTGCAATTCATACGCACACTAATGCGTCAGACTAGAAATGCAAGCTCATGCGACAAGTTTCGCTGCGCTGCAAAGTTCAAGCTTGGTGAACTCTGACCTGTGAAATCGCATCACATGATTGTGTTGAGATCAATCGAGGATCAAAACATGACCTCTCTGGACAGAAATGTAAAATATGGACCAATGGCTTTTTAAAATGTCTAATCATGTTGTTTAATCCAACCCCTTTTCACAGCACAGTAGAACAGAATTTTGCATGCTCAAATTTTAGTGTGACTGCGGCATTAATGGGTAGATGGTAGGTTAATGGCAAAAAAAAAAAAAGTTAATTGTTCACAAGCTATAATCAGCTGAATAATCAAATAGATTTTGCCATCTGGCCAATCAGAGCAAAGTAGTCTTTTGGAAAGTGTAATATTGGATAGTTTAGAGAGTGAAATAAACCTTGAACAAACCATTATGAACACTGAGAAAAGAGGTAATGCTGCAATGTATAGGAAAAATCTGATATCGTGATATTTACTTTTTCTGCAATTTATATTGCGATGCGAATACAGTTTCACCAAATGGTTTGAATTGTTGCATTTAATTTCTTTCTGGACAGTCTAATAGTAATCAGGTACAGAAATTGAATAATCATAATACAAAAAATGCTTTTCTTACTTAAGAGTTTTTGTCTCATTTCTATTCCAAATATACATAAAAAAAAATTTTAAATTAAGAAAAAATATTTAGTTTTTACCTTCAGAAGTAATAGGTCAAAATTAAGTTTAACTTAAAATGAGTAAAACAATCAGCTAATGAGTTAAGTAAAAGAATCTTGTTTTCATTTTAAAATGTAGATTTTTGGAAAAGAAACAAGGCAAAAATTCTTAAATGCAATTCAGACTCAATCTGGCAGATCCTGCGATGTGATTATTTCGAATGTGCATGTTGCAGTTTTGAAGCTAAAACTATATATTTTGCAGCACTAAAATGTATATTATGAGAAAATTCTTTTTTTAAACATTGGATGAATGTACATCTATTATACAGGTTCCCCCACTTTTTCATGAACAGCGGGTCAAGGACTTTTTAAAAGCACTATTCATTTTAAATCAAGCACCTTTGTACTTCATACCCCCAGCATATGTAGTGCCATGAAAGTCCCTACTGTACTTAAAATTTCACTAATATTTACATTAAAATGTCATGGTAATGATAAACAGTCATGTTCAAATATGATCTCTGAAATATTGATGTGCATTATGTGTCATGGTTTTTGTGCGAGGTTTAAATTTAAGACTTCAAATTAAGAATTTCCATTAATATTTCAAACCATTAATAAATGGTTTGAAATGTTGCATTTAATTTCTTTCTCGACAGTCTAATAGTAATCAGGTACAGAAATTGAATAATCATAATACAAAAAATGCTTTTCTTACTTAAGAGTTTTTGTCTCTAACTAATGTTAACATGCATGGACTTGGATGTTATTAATGCATTAGTAAATGTTCAATTATGATTAATAAATGCTGTACATGTGCTGTTCATGATTAGTTCATGTTAGTAAATGCATTAACTAATGAACCTTATTGTAAAGTGTTACCGGTTTCATAATAAACATTCATTATACAAAAGATATACGAAGAACAACAACAACACTGAAAAGAGTTATATACAATCGTTAAGTTTGATTCATGATACATTTTCTAAAATTCCACCAGAAGATAGCTTTTTAAACATTTCCTTAATAAAAACATTTTCTAATATCATTGAAAAAAATCACACATTCATGTTTTATCATCAAAATATTCATAGAAAAGTCACAACTAAGTTTTCCCTACCCTTTCAATAAACATGAGTGTGTAAGTCTTGAGTAGCTGATTCTACATCTCTCATGTGCAACCTGATTACGTCTATTGTCAAAATAGTAATGTAGTTATTTGCGGGATGCTAAAGACATACCAGAAGATGTGGCTGAGCAGAAGGGCGGCGTAGTCTCTGAGGGTCCAGTGGTCATTGAGGGGGTTTATGGAGGCCGCCAGAGGCTCCAGGATGCAGTACATGACACTGGACACCAGACTGCGCACATACGATCCCAGATAAAGGTACGGATTCTGCACCAAACTCTTCACCATGTGGAGAAGCCGGTTTAACTGGTCCAGATCATGACTTACTGATTTCACCTGAGGAAGAGGAAACAGAGAGAATGACATATTATAATATGGATTATATTAAAACTATGGTCGTGATTTTTGTTGGTTTTTCTGTTTATATGGTTAACTTATGGCTATTTTGTGGCATATTATAACAACAATGTCTTACATAAAATAGCTACAATAAAAAAAGCACTTCAAATTTTACTTTAAAAATATTAAATATGATTTTTCACTTTCATATTTGATATACAATAAAAATTTATAGCCATACTACTGAGAATAATAGCAGATAGTTCACCTCAGATCTTGAAAAAATAAACCGTTTCAAATGGAACTTTAGAACTAAACACATACGGGTGATTCAGCATGTAGATTTAATAATGTAAAGATTTAATAAATGTTAAATAGGTTATAAACCTTATCATTTTGTAAGGGCATATTCTGTGCTTCTGGATGGCTGTATTTAAATTTCTCTTGTTTCGTTTGGTGCAAACAGCTTAATTGCTTATCACAGCGTATCCAGTCATGAAGCGTCCTCTTAGAACACGACAATACAATGTAACCATCTCACCTAATGTTTACGTTCGTAATATTTATATCATTTGCTAATTATAATATTATGTGGAACTGAATCTGTCTCATGTCGGAATCTGCTACTGTCCTCTGGAGGTGGCATTTTGTTCATGGGCGCATGCTTTCAGAGCTTTTCTAAATGAGTGAATGAAATACACTTATGAAATAATTATTTTTCTACTTGGGCAATCAGGGGTGCTGAAATATAATTGGCTAAACTAGTATTAGGCAGGATAAAATTATCAAAACTATGACAGCCGTTCCAGCATGGAAAAAAACATTTTCAAAGCAGAATATCTGACTTCAGCACTGTTTTTCAGAAAAAACAGTAATGTAGCATGTTTCTTAAATATCTGCAAACATATTATGGTTTTTATTATACTTTAGAACAGTCAAAAACTTACATAGAGCTCCTTTAAAAACATGATTTCTTTTTTAACAGCAATTGCAGTTATTGAAGGTATGTAAATATAAAAGTCGAGGGATTTTTTTTTTATTTACTTCATGGACAAAAGCAAACTTACCCCACTGATGACGTAAACAAAGTAAGGCAAGAGGGCAGCGATCTTTGAGTTGGACTGGAGGTCCAGTAAAGCCACCTGGAAGTAAAATAATACATAGTTTACCTCCTTATCATTAACATTAGCGATTTTGAAAAATGTTTTACATGCTCACCAAATACACTACCTGACAAAAGTCTTGTCGCTTTTCCAAGTTTTAGGAACAACAAATAATAACTGGACTTCTAGTTGATCATTTGGTATCAGAAGTGGCTTATATGAGAGCCTCTAGATTATGCTTATTTTACAAAAATAGTTTTTAATAATTTAATTAGGAAAGTAAGTTCTGACTTAGCTTAGACAAAAGGAAATAATCCACAGTTTAAAATATGAAGTCATGGTGCAGTGGAAAAATAATTAATATTGTGTATTAATCTCATGTATCTCCCATGAGATTGAACGATAAATAATTTATTAGTAAAGTCATCAATTATATACTTTAGAATAGATCTAACAGGTTTATATTTCTATATATTTTTATTCATGTAGTAGCAAAGCAAAATTTCCAACAGTCTTAAGTGTCTTATACAATATTTTTTGTGAAAACAGTGCGACATTTTTCAGGATTCTTTGATGAACAGACCAAAATTACATATTTCAATTCTTTTTGGTCTCCTCTGATCAATTAAATGCACCCTTTTTGAATCTGACAGCTCATTTCTACTGATAAAGTGACGTTACTGACATCCAGTGTTGTACACTAGTACAAGTACCTTCATGAGGTGTGGGTCCTCTCCTAAAATGGCCCGTGTTATTTGCTGATAATACTTCAGAAGATCTTCTGATAGAGACTGAACAGCAGTGGGCACTAACAAAAAAACATCCTGTCAGTTTATTACACATTCATATTATACATAAACCAAAATAGGCAAGTAGGTGGGTAGTTTGGTAGTTAGGTAGCTAGGTAGGTAGGTAGGTATGTATGTGGATAGGTAGATGTATGGATAGATAGATGATAAATGATAGACAGACAGAAAGACAGACAGACAGACAGACAGACAGACAGACAGACAGACAGACAGACAGATAGATAGATAGACAGACGGACTGACTGACTGACTGACTGACGGACGACAGACCGACCGATCATAGCCGACCGACCATAGCCGACCGACCGACCGACAGACGGACAGAAGGATAGATGGATAGAAGGACAGACAGACAGACGGACGGACGGACGGACGGACGGACGGACCATAGCCGACCGACCATAGCCGACCGATCATAGCCGACCGACCATAGCCGACCGACCGACAGACGGACAGACGGACAGACGGACAGACGGACAGAAGGATAGATGGATAGAAGGACAGACAGACGGACGGACGGACGGACGGACGGACAGACAGACAGACGGACGGATGGACGGACAGACGGACGGACGGACGGACGGACCGACCATAGCCGACCGACCATAGCCGACCGATCATAGCCGACCGACCATAGCCGACCGACGGACAGAAGGACAGATGGATAGAAGGACAGACAGATAGACAGACAGACGGACGGACGGACGGACGGACGGACGGACGGACAGACGGACAGACAGACAGACAGACAGACAGACAGACAGACAGACAGACAGACAGACAGACAGACAGACAGACAGACAGATAGATAGATAGATAGATAGATAGATAGATAGATAGATAGATAGATAGATAGATAGATAGATAGATAGATAGAAAGATAGATAGATAGATAGATAGATAGATAGATAGATAGCAATTGCAGTTTTTTTAATTTGGTTTATTGATCATAATACAGATGTTGCTGTATTTCATTGCTGTAATGAAATATATTTGAAGTTCACCTGTGCCTTGAGGTTCTAAATTCCCTTTCCCATCAAGATATGACACATGTACTGCAAATGAGGAAAACAAAATAAGTCATTCTTAAAATGAAATGATACAAATTTTCCTAATGACTAAACCACTCTCACCTCGAACCATCGTCTCTGCACAGCCTTTGGGTATGTTGGTTGCAAGTGCCAACTCCACCAGATTTATCTCCCGATCCTCTACATAGAAAAGTTCTCCTTCCTTTAGTGGACGGAAAGGTAAGGCGTCTTGTGCACCATAGCCGCAAACGGTCTAGAAAACATCCAGATGTTAAAGAGTCACAAAGAACGCCATTAATATGCATATTATTAACAATGCACTCAAAGCTATACCTCAGTATTGCTCCATCGCAGGGCTCTGTTGAAGTCTTCCACACTCAGTTTCCGTCTCTTCGCATGTCTCATGAACTGTGAGCTGTTCTGTGGGTGGAAAAGCAGATTAAATGTATAGCCTTAAGGTTTTGTTTTTATAACAATGTCTAACAATACCATTTCCTGCTAATGTTTTATAAGAATAAAATGACATATATGAAAAAATATAAACCTATAAAAGTCACAGTCTAAAATTTATTGAATGTGTTCACACAGGGTATACAATCTGTTTTGATACTTTTTTGAATTTGAGGGAGATGTTCTTCCACTTTGTTAGAAGTTAGTTAGTGGTAGTGTTAGTGGTGTTCCCGGTAAAAAAAAATAAAAAATAAAAAATTACAGTATCAAATTAACAAAGAAGTTTCATTGTTATTTTACTATCCAAAATCTTTGTTATTTGTTGTTTGTTTGTAAAGACATTACCTACTAGTTATTATGTTGGCTTGAGAAAGCCAACATACTGTTATGCTACTCTGTCCTTGAAAACAAACGTATCTCCTCCTAGGCCGTTCATGCCACAAAGCCCAAATGTGATCAAAATGTGCCTTCTACATTCAAGATTGTTGCTATATCTCCTCATGCCTATAAGACTTATTGTTTTTTTAATAAAAAATGTTAACTATTAAATTTTTATAATCCGGGCATATAAAAAAATTATACAAGCCCCAAATTTGGCCAAAAGCTGTATTTAGATGCGTTAGATTTTGTTGCTATATCTTTAAGGTTTATCAGACTTATAGTTTTCCAATAAATAATTTTTAAGCATTATTTTTCTCAAAATATGGCAAGCCATTTTTGACTTAAACTCCATATTTTTTACGGATATGGCAAGCCATTTTTGCATGTATCACTTTCACACTTATTAAGCATTGTATTTTAAAAAAAATACGGCAAGCCATTTTTACATAATGTTCATTGCCTTAGTCCCTTTATTAATCAGGGGGCGCCACAACGGAATGAACCGCCAACTTATCCAGCATTTGTTTTACACACCGAATGCCCTTCCAGCCGCAACCCAACACCAGGAATACATAATGTTCAAGTCCAGTTTTTGACACTCAAAGACTGTGATAGAAACATTGGGGTTGATTAAGATCACTCATATTGCCAAGAAGCTTTGATGTATCATCACTAACCTGTCAAATGTCCCCATAGCAATAAAACAGTATAACCTAGCAACCATTTAAAAATAGCAATATCTCTACATCAGAACATCGTAGGGACCTGGGCATTGGCTTGTTTGACTCATGCTAGCAAATGGGACTTCCTGTGTACTATGCATGGTAACAATGATAATGGAAGCCAAGTGCTAATAACGATTAGCTACATGCTATGAATGATTATCTAAATGCAATAACATATGCTAGAAATGCCTACTAAGTATTAGCATTTGATCAAACATGTACACGAGCATTGCCATTTAGCAACTGCTTAGCAACCACCTAACAATGCCATAATTGTTTTAGCAACTGCCTAGCAACCACTTAGCAACCGCCGCCGTGCTTCCTGCCAACTGCCATTCCCAGTCCTAGCGCGCAGTCACGTTGGCTTTCTCAAGCCAACATCAAAGTTTATCAATAAACTTTAGGTTCTAGTTGGATATTATTGTTCAACATAAAAACAAATAAATAAATAAAACAGGTTTGGAACAAGTAAAAGGTGAGTTGATGGTCACAGAATGTTCAGTTTTGGATGAGTTGTCCTTTTAATGGGGAGTACAGTGATTTTAGGGAGAAATATCCTTTAATGTGTATACTATAGGCTATTTTATTTAGGGATGCTAACGATTACTTGATGATTGACTGATTGTCGATATCCCTTTATTCAATAGACCTTATCAATGACTGATTGAACATAAAAAAGAAATGTTTTCTTACTTTAATTTTTTTTCTTGTTTCTAGTCCAAAGGCCTACATATTAAAACAAAGTTCTACATTTTTATCCCCTATTGGCAAATAATTAAGCTTGTTTCAAGAAAATAAAAATGTTGACAAAGTAAAAACAAAACACTATTTTTACTCGATCTAAGAATTAGAGATATTTCCACTAGAAACAAGCAAATTAAGAAAAGCATTTTGTGATGTTTTATTCAGTTTCTATATCTGCTTACTGTTAGACTCTCCCGAAAAATGTTAAATAGAGTTATTCAAACTCTCTTTTGAAACTGTATTTATATCGCAATAATTATTGCAGAAAAATAAAATATTGCAATTTCAGTCATGCAGCCCTAAACAGCACCCATAAACATTGCTTTAAAATAATGAATGCCTGAACAACATGTTAAAACCCCTAAAAGACAGACGTGAACATACAAGGGACTTCATTAGTCTTGAGACAAAGCAAACAAACAGACATAGTTGAAGTCAGAATTATTAGCTCCGCTTTGAACTTTTTTTTCTTTTTTTAAATATTTCCTAATGATGTTTAACAAAGCAAAGAAATTTTCACAGAATGTCTGATAATTTTTTTCTTATCTTATAGTCCTATTTGTTTTATTTCAGCAAGAGAAAAAGCAGTTATTAATTTTTTAAGGTCCAAATTTTTAGCACCTTTAAGCTATTTTTTTTATCTACAGAACAAACCATAAAATACAATTACTTGCCTAATTACCCTAACCTACATAGTTAACCTAATTAACCTAGTTAAACCTTTAAATGTCACTTTAAGCTGTATAGAAGTGTCTTGAAAAATATCTAGTCAAATATTATTTACTGTCCTCATGGCAAAGATAAAATAAATCAGTTATTATTAGAAATGAGTTATTAAAACTTTTGTTTAGAAATGCATTGGAAAAAAAAAACTTAAAACAGAAATTGGAGGAAAAAATAAACAGGGGGGCTAATAATTCTGACTTCAACTGTGTGTGTGTGTGTGTGTGTGTGTGTGTGTGTGTGTGTATATATATATATATATATATATATATATATATATATATATATATATACACGCACACACACATCAGTGCAAACTACAAAGCAAAGCAGGTCCACATACAGATATGGACAAAATGGTTGGTGCCCTTTAACTGAAGAAAGCCCCACAGCAGTCACTGAAATAACTTGAAACGGATAAAAAAAATCAATAATCCCAAAATAGGTGAAAATAAACAAATTTTGTTCATGTCTGTATAAGCTTTATATCATTGAGGTAAAGTTGGTTTTATATTCGCTAATTTTAACGGTCCTCATGATTAACTTTACTTACCACGCTATTTTCAACATGGGGTCTGAAATCGCAGTCAAGTATGACTTCATTCAAAAAAACATTAGGCAACATTCAATTGGCTCTGAAGAATGTTATACTTTAATAGTCACATTATGATAGTCTTTGATTGCTAATTTGATTTTCCTATTTATAATTTACAAATAATACTTTTATGAAATGACATTATTAATGAGAAAGTCTGAATGTGGAAATATAAAACCAACTGCAGCCCAGTAACGTTAATGAAAAGATGAACTGGTATATGTGACCTGTGTGGCCTCCCTGAGCCGGTAGCACACATCCTCGGCCAGCAGACCCGCCAGTTCCTCGCTGAGCTCCACTCCGGCGCTCTCCGCCATCAGTTTGACGGACTCCCGGGGCACTTCAGCGAAGCGCCGTTCCTCCCTCTCGGTCATCTTCACGTTAGAAATAAAGATGCTGCGGATTAACGTCAGACCCGCGTAACATCAGCCTCTCCTTATTACTCCTCGCAAGGCTGCGTTAGCATAAGAAACTGGGGCTAAAAACACGCATCGTACCTTCTTATTGTCAACCGGTGCTGAGTGGGCTCATAAATGTCATTTATTTTCTGATTTACAGCATTGTTGTGAGTACGTTAGCACAAGATGCTAAACTCTTCCGACAACACACTGCTGAACTTGAGGAGGGCGTCCGATTGGCTAAGAGCTCCGCGCATGCGCAGTTTTGTTTGTTTTCTGTGGCGCGGAGTTTTATTCGCTTCAGATAGTTTGCTGTTTATATTAGCATCAAGTGTTCTACATGTCTGATTTCACACACGCTGTATTATTTAATAATAATGGAAAAACATTTCAGCCAAACTGCCAATGTGAACTGCAAAATTCAAGGCCTTCAACTGTCTGTATTAAAATGTAAAGCCGCCATTTAGGGTACAAATATGTATTTGCAAATATATTAAAAATACAAAAATATATTTGCGAACCCTGCTGAAAAAACTGCTTAAACCAGCCTAGGTTGGTTGGCTGGTTTTAGCCGTCTTAGCTCAGACTGGGAGATGACCAGCCTAGTCAGGCTGGAAGGCCAGCCAAGACCAGCTAAAACCAGCCTGGTCAAGCCTGGTTCCTGGAAAAAAATATACAGGTCTATCAAAGTAACAAAGAAGTTTCATTGTTATTTTACCACCAGAAATCCTTTTGTCATTTTTGTTTGATTGTAGTTGTCTGTGTGAAACTGATTGATTGCAGGCCTCCATAATATATAAGCAAAAAAGCTAAATTCAAAATAAACGCACTGTGTATCACATTATAGCATGCTTTGATGCTTACCTACAAAGTTTTGTTTTAATGTTGTAAAATATAAAGGAAAGAAAGAAGATGAAATAAAGAATTAATCCCATATTAATATAGGCCTAGCATACCATTTTAAAACAGTTTAAATGGGCAGCTATTTTCTGCAGAAACACACCAAAAAGCTATGACGTTTTCAACAGTTCGAAGCAATTCAAAGCCATAAACAGATGCACACATTATTTTATAGGAATGCTAAATATTTAGACAGAATTCATGCTTGTGCACGTCAAATAAAAGCCAAAACTTTAGTTTAGTCAGAGACTTTCTGAAATAACAGAACCCATCAACACATTGAGGTTGGATTCATACTCACACATTCAGACGTTCTCCTTAATAATGTAATTTCAGAAAAAGTATTCTTTGCAAAGTCTAAACGATGAACTTATATTAGCAGCCAATCACTATCAAAGCACAACATTGCTCACAGTCAAATAAATAGTGCTAATGTTGTTTTCAGGTCATGCTTACATGTGATTTCAGACTGACTATTCAAAGTATCTTGCTAAACAATATAGGGAGCATTTCACAAGTTATCACTGAATGAATGTGCAAATATAAAACCAACTTTACCTCAATCATCAACATACCTAGTGGTGGTTCTAGCTTAAATTGCACCCTGGGCGAATCACCCCCATATACACAATATTAAAAATATTTATATTTATTATAAATAAAATTATTATTAATATTATCATTATACAATTATTATATTAAAATAATAAACAGAAAACAATACTAAATATAACTGGAAAATGATGCAAAGACAAAACTGGAGTGATAAACTAAGATCACTTAAGAATTTGCATATAGCCTATAGAATTATCTGTTCATCTTGTTCATCATGACTCAAGGCCGAGAATTAATGTTATTAAGTCTTACATCCCCAACTCTATCCCTCATTTTTGCTTATAGCCATGCTTAGACAAAATAAGATCATCATCATATTATAGAAGCCTATATGGCTGTAAGCAGAAATGAGTCGGGGAAGTAAGACTTAATAACATTAACATCTTGCAAAACTCGCTGTGTGTCAACATCTCATTCATTCATTCATTTTCTTGTCGGCTTGGACCCTTTATTAATCCGGGGTCGCCACAGCAGAATGAACTGCCAACTTATCCAGCAAATTTTTATGCAACGAATGCCCTTCCAGCCGCAACCCATCTCTGGGAAAGTGTCAACACCTCGTGTCATAAAGTAAGAGAATAGGCCTTTACTCCTGATTCGTGGCGCATATTTTATCAGCATGCATGTAAACAAGAGCAGGAGCAGCGCGTGAGGCTCGGGGGAATATTTTTCTGCACGCATGCGTCAGTTTGTTTTCACCAGCGTTGTTTCGGTTGCACATAGAGAATAACAAACTTGCGCATGCAAAAGACGCCAAATGTGAATGGCCCCTAACGTCTTTATTCTGGCATCACCACTCTAAATTAATACATTTGAATGAAGTAAATTGTATTTCTCAAAGTTTACTGGGGCATGTTTTTTAGGGCATCCGCTGAGTAAAAACTTGCTGGATAAGTTGGCGGTTCATTCCGATGTGGCGACCCCGGATTAATAAAGGGACTAAGCAGACAAGAAAAAGAATGACTGATTTAAAACCAGGCTGTTCAACCAACTAAAACCAGCTTAGGGAAAGGAGGCTTTAAAATACATTAACATCAGTCCAAAAGTGTACATTGAACATATTATTGACCAAAATAAAGCACTTGAAAAACTTTAAAAGGGGACAGGCAGGAAGAATGAGCATCATTAACTGCTACTGAGTTAACATCATTTGAACAAGATTTTTTTTTACTCTGTGAGAAAGGTTCAAATGTGTGTGTGTGTATATATATATATATATATATATATATATATATATATATAAACATTGTAAAGCAAAAAAATTCTCTCGACCCTAAAATCCATTTCTAAAGTAGGTTTTAAAGTTCCATTAAAACCTAATTATTTTGACCTATATATACAAAATTAACAGGATCATGAATTACATGTTTACATCAAGGCTCAAAAGATATGCAGAAGGACTTTTGCAATAACCTCCTGTGTCTAGCACTTTCAGTGAACTGTTTGCAGTTACTAAAATCAGCATGTTTTTAAAAAAAAAAAAAAAAAAAATATATATATATATATATATATATATATATATATATAGATAGAGGCATCAATGATCACCACTGCCGGATTGATTTACAATATAAAGTGGGTGTCAGATTGTACAAACACTGCATTAAATAAAAAATTTCCACGTCTTTAAAATATGAACAAATATATGGCCCCAATATTTCCAATAGGGTTTCTGCACTGCAATAGAGCTTTTTACCCTTTGGTAACCAAATGCTGGCATCTACTTGAAGTGATTGGATTTTAAGTTATAAAACAACATCTAGGCTGTAAAGGGAAATTTAAAAAAAAAATTAAAATGAATCATTTACCAGGAGTTTTTGTATTGGAAGTAAGACTAACAGTGTATATACACTCCATCAAGATCTACAAGAGACTAACAAAGGGAAAAAATAAAGTAGTAATGTCAGTTCCACATAGGCCCTGCTTAAATTCAATAGAGAACTACAGCTAAATGCAGGGTCACTAATAAACCTGTTCATATGAATTTCTCAGGAAAAAATAAAAAGAGGCAGTTGGTACTTTAGTTCACCATTTGCCATATTAAGAAAGACAAAGCAAGTCATTAAGAGGTTTTATTAAAATCCAAGGATGTTGATGTTTCTAATATAATTTAAAGGTCATTAAGTTGAAAAATCCATAAGTTAGAAACATTCATAAATCAAATCCTTCATATGTACAACAGTAAAAATTAAATCAGTTCACACACTTAAGGGGCTTCATTCAGTCTGTCAAAATAAGTGTCCTCAGAAGTACAAGACAGACTTAAAATTAAGAAAATAAAAAGCAAGCATTTGAGAATTGGTCTCAAAAGGCAATTAAAAAAAAACCCACACACACTGTACACAGTAACTAATAAAAGCAGGGTTAAACATGAATTCAGCACAGTACAGTCACAGTTAAAAGTCATCTCCAGGGATCATCTGCATGCCAGACTTCACTACAGCAGCGGTTTATCCAGGACGTCTTGAGGACCAGCACTGGCAGCTTTCTCCAGCTGCTGGAGCCGAAGGGCCAGAGGGAGCAGCAGGTCATTCAGATGCTGACTGCTGAAGGTGAAGGCATTATTGGCCACCGCTTCCACTGATGGAGGCGTGATGGGACCGGAGCTGTCGGGATAGACCGGAGACGGCAACGCAGATGTAGGAGACGAGGAAGGTGGAGATGGTGAAGTGCAGGTGTCAGAGATTGGCGAAATAGACCCTCCGTTGGTCATCTGCTGAGGCCAGGACGTGTGGTTGGCATTGTGACCTTTGATGGTGTTGGGAAGTCCATGCTGGAACCGGCAGCGGGTGCCATAGAGGCAGAAGCCGAAAGCACTGAATGTGCGGCAGAGGGCACCACGAGGCTTCCACTCTTGGGATTGTGACGGAGGTTGCCAGGTTTGCTCTTCCTCAGCACCATCTGATTCAGAGCCTCCCTCAACATGGAGAAAGTGGCACCTGTTGCCAAACGGGCAAACCCCAAATGCGCGGAAAGTACGGCATGGCACGTTCCTGCGCCGAGGACGGATAGGCCTCTGCTCTTTAAGGTTGTGCACAAACAGACAGCGTGTGCCATAAACGCAGTAGCCAGCAGTGTGGTAGGTACGACACAGCTCCGTTTTGTACTTGGGATGACGGGAGGGCACATGGAGATCATGGAGGCCATGGGCAAACTGGCAGCGTTCGGCGTACTTGCAGGTACCCGTCTCCGCATAACGGCTGCACAGTTCAGTCTTGTAGCGGGTGGAGCAGAGCCAAGGGGTCATTGGGGGAGAGGGAGACTCGACCAAGGGAAGCAAGGCCTCAGCTAGAGATAGACCACCACCACCACCACCTAAACCCTCCTCGGGGAAGAACGCCTCATTCAGGCCTTCAGTGGGGAACAGGAACAGGTCGTCTTGACTGGTCTGGAACAAAAGACTGCATTTTAGGACTCTTAAAAAGACAAAGCTTGATCAGATTATTGGAATACAAGTCCTAGTAACAAATCTTATGACTAGGCCCAGACAGAATCTGCAGACATTTGCCATTTCAGCGATAACATTTTTTTTTTTCTCTATTTATTTTTTAAATTGGGATTTATGCAGAATGATTAAGAGTGTCAGAACTAAACTTCATATGAAATTTAAATGGTTTACAATGAAAATTCAAGTGGATCCACTTATTTGGTAAAAGCCTCCAATATAATACATTTCCTAAGAGACCAGAGGAGAGGGATAATAATAATAATAATAATAATAATAATAAAATTAATTTAAAAAAAAACTAAAATAAAGTCTGACATTAACACAAGTAAATAAATAGCAAAATAAATGAATAAAATAAAATTAACTACTCAATAATTGGCTAAAAAGCTGCAGATTTCTGCACACATAGATTGCATGTGGGCCTACTTGCGACCAAGCAGTGGTAATGTCTGCAATTAAGGTGCTAAAATGAGGGTTTTTACAGCAATACTACAGAAGGAACCAATTCTGCTTTGCTAAAGAACCACTTTGGAAGTGATCAAAGCTTAAAATAACCAGCTTTTCCGTAAAGAAAGGTTAAAAAAATTTTTTAAAAGTATGCTTCAGTAGAACTTTGTGGAAGGCAATGGCTTACCAGACGTTAAGTTAATATAGCCAAAACAATGCCCAAAAAATAACCCTTTATTGTTAGAAGTGTGGTTTAAAGAGGTTTTTTTTACCATGAAGGGGTTCTTTTAAAAATAAAAAAAAATCCCAAAAAATAATGTAATCTTCCTCCTCATGTACCTTGAGTATTGTAACCAATGAGTTAATTGGAAATATTTTCAATGCCAGTTACAGACACCCATTAACTCCCATAGGAAAAACTATGTTAGCCAATGGGTACCAGCTACCAAAATAGAAAGTATCCTTTGATCACCAGAAGAAATTGAAATCAGACTTAATTTGTGGTGAAATATGCCTTTAGGAACTATTGAGGGCCCCAAATAGATACCCCTCAAAGACAATACTATTGTGAACAATTGCCATGTGGAAAGATTGTAAACACTGGTCCACTTTTTCCAACCAGGTTTAGGTTAAGAAAATACTGAGAACTTGTAGCCATCGATTGCCAAATAATGTTTTCTACCATGTCATCTACCATGTTTTGGGAATATTAAAGTCTATAGTAGACTATATCAACGAGTTATCGCCTAAAGGGGTCTTTAGGGAGTCACAGATGCTTTTTTTTTTTTTACTTAATTTTTTTTTTTTTTAAGTAAAGGGTTAAGCTAACTATACAGATCTATCTCATGTAATTTAGCACTTTAAAGCTATAGAAAGCACTTTAAAGAGTTCAGTTAACTGCCTTTAACTAAAACAAACTAGAGATCATTGTTCAGTTGGTCTGCAAATATTTCATGCGTTTAGTCGTAATGTCTCAAAGATAACCTGACGTAAAACTTAACGTAGTTCAAATTAAAACACAATGAAAGATCAAACTTACCTCAAACATTACTGCGTTTTCAGACTGCTGCACAAAACTGAAGAAACCGAATATTAAGCTTTCAAAAGCGTCCCAACTACACCGGAAAGATTTCTTCACACGCTTTATACTCCTTTGCCCAATCCGAGATGAAAGACGCGAACTACACCTTATACCTGGCAAGCCCTACGTATAGCCCAACCGCTCGAGCTGCTGTTTTAAAGCGACCAGCGTCCATTCCCGCGTTCCCTTTAAAACACGAATCAGCTGTGACGCGTCAACCTGCGAACCACCCAATCACTTTCAACACAGGTGACCGCCAATCTAATTTGGAGGCAGTCTGAAGCGTCTGTGGTGGGCGTTTTCAAGTTGATCAAATTTGGAGATCGCCGCATTTCTTGCCGATTCCCCTGGAATAAACATTTGCCAAGTAGCTTGTTAGGAGACTTCAAAGGGCGAGCTGAGAATATACACACAGCCCCATCCTGTATCAATTACTGCGTCACACCTCCGGTTGTGCGTGTGTCTGTGAAGTGGAGATCCGAGGCTTTGTATTTTGCTTATTGGGAGGCTTGAAATGAGAATATAGATTTACTGTGTGACCTTACACAATAACAACAGGCCATTCTCATCTGAAATGATGCCACTGCACTCACTGATTTAATAGTAAATAACCAAATCTTAATATATATTTCAAATACACTGGGTATATGTTGACTATATATATATATATATATATATATATATATAGACCATTACAATGTGCCAATGTGAACATCTCCTGCGTGTTATCAAACTTTCATAACTGTAACAAGAGCAATTCAATTATACCTTGATGTTAAAACAGCTGTCATGACATTATTTATCAATTTGTGGCTCTTGTTGGATTCTCTGAAGCTATAGAAATTAAATGTTAAAAAATAATACACTGAGACCATTGATTTTGTTCACATCCCTCAAAATAGTCTGTAGATATATATATATATATATATATATATATATATATATATATATATATATATATATATATATATATATATATATATATATATATAAAAACTCTGATGCTCAATAAAATACACTATATATTTTAAACATCAATTAAAGACTTCTTTCAGCCACACTGTTACTTTCTGGTCTTGTTTGAAACTGTCTGATGTTTGGGGGGAAATCCTCAGGTGTTTTTCTGCTGTTTCTGCTCATTATCCCCTTAACAGCACTGTTTGGAATCCTGCTGAATATGTTGACTCAAATTCATTGCAGGCCGATAGTGTACACTGTAAAAAAATGCAGGGTTCCACACAATTCATTCATGTTGTCCCAACACACATCGATTAAGTTAACACTTTTAACAAATTTTCGTAAATTGAACATAAAACAATTAAGCTGTCCCAAATGAAATCTCAAAAATTGTGGTGATTCAGCTTATTTTAAATAAGTAGTTTGTACTTAAACTGTTTGTACTTTGTGTTTAAACTTTACTGGCTAGACCATTTATGAATTGGAAGTCAGCAGCTCCCCCTTCTTATCTGCAATGGGTTTTTGATTTCTTACATGCTCTTAAAATGGAAAAGACTCAGTTTGCAATAAAACAAAAGCCAGAACAGTTCCACAAAGTCTGTAGCCCTTTTTTATTTTTTAAAGAGACACCTATGTCTCAATTGCCTTTTTTCTTTGTATAATTAACTTATTCTTGTTTTTAAATTAAGTTTATGTTATCTTATGTGTGTATATATATCTGGTATTGTACCTTATTGCTTATATACTTATTTATAACTGATTTCCTGTTTGGTAAATTGTATCAGTGCACACGCACACGCATATATATATATATATATATATATATATATATATATATATATATATATATATATATATATATATATATATATATATGTACATATATATATATATATTTATACACACATACATATATATATATACACACACATACATATATATATATATATATATATATATATATATATATATATATATATATATATATACATATATACACACACACAACAGTTCTGTCTGGTTCTCAAACCTGATTGGCTGATAGCTGTGCAATATTCTGCAATATCAGAAACCCTACAGCCTCTTTCCCTTTGTGTATTACTCCGCTCACATACAGCCAGCAAAATGCAGACACTTCAGATCTAAAGTTTAAAAGATGCTGTCAAACTGTTTAAACGCAACATCACACTCGTAGCAGTGCGATATGGCTGTATATCGGCACTGGCTCCCACCAGTGCCGATATATAGCCATATCGCACTGCTACTCGTGCGATTTTGCTCACATATATATATATATATATATATATATATATATATATATATATATATATATATATATATAATGTTTATAGTACATCCATCTGTTAATATCACCATCGTTTTTCTTTTACTGGACTGTATAACTTATACCTGTATCCTGCTGTTGCACTCCTGGTTAGACCTAAACTGCATTTCGTTGTCTTTGTTGACATATACACATCTATAGACAATAAGAGATGGGGTATTGTCTTAAAGGGATAGTTAATCAAAAAATATAAAGCTACTTATCCATAAGTGGCTCCAAACTAAACCTTTGAGTTTATTCTGTGAAACAAAATGATATAAACCGATAACCACTGAAAAATAATACAGTGGAAGTCAATGTTTCCAACATTCTTCAAAATATCTTCTTTTGTATTCAACATTGCACTAACTCACTTGAATTGCACATACCCACTGTACATATACACTAATAATCATGCCATCTATCTGCATACCTCTGATTATTAATAGCAACCTGTACATATATTCATCTATTGGGAATCTCTGTTCAGTTAATAACCTGTATATAATGTTCATATACATCCATATATAAACATCACCATAGTTTTTTATAACTGCACTTTAAAACGTATACACCAAAGAAGATATTTTGAAGAATGTTGGAAACATTGACTTTCACTGTATTATTTTTCCAAAGTTATTAGTTTATATTATTTTGTTTCACAGAGGTTTAGTTTGGAGCCACTTATGGGTAAATAAACTGATAATAAACTTTTTGATGAGCTATTCTTTTAAGACAATACTGACTATGTTGACCTAAACTGCCTTTCGTTACCTTGAAATTGTACATGTGTAATGACAATAAAGCCAAATCTAATCTAATCTAAAAACAGGAGAACATAAAACACATGCTGGATAAGTTGGCGGTTCATTATGCTGTGGTGACCCCTGATTAATAAAGAGACTAAGCCGAAAAGAAAATGAAGGACTGAATTTTTTTAAACAAACAACATACGCACGTCCATAGACAGTATGGGATGGAGTATTGTCTTAAAGGGACAGTTCATTAAAAAAAAAATTACTTTCCTCTCCTTTTTTGGGTGAACTATCCCTTCAAGACTTAAAAAAATTTAATTAAACACATTTTCAGTTGTCACAAGAATGATTTCAAGAATGACACATACTAAATCCATAAAATCAGCATCTCCCTTTTTACAATAATACAATTGTTTTTAAAGAATAATGAAAAATCTTCAGCTTATGACCACAAACAAAAAAAATCTTTATTTTCTTATCACAAGATACATTAAAGGATACACAGACACTGGAATATTAAAAAAAAACTGAGTTGTGAGTTGAAATCTCTCATCGATATACAAAACTGAAATCCTTCACACCCCTGAATCAAACCCGAAAATCCACCAGTCCTCCCTCCCCCCCAACTCTTAATGGAGATCAATGTTAACCCAGGTTTTGCATTTATTTATTTTTTTTATTTCAAGCTATGCCAAAACATGGTGGGGTCTCTCAAACCCCCTTCATAAAAAACCGGTGACACTTAAAAGGGGACAAGTTAACATTTATTTGTGTCTTTAGTGTGCAGTGCACGCTCCATTTGTTTAAGAAACATTACAAAACCCCAAATCGGGGGAAACGATTTACAATGACATTTTGTGTTGACTAATCTCAACAAGCCAGGAAAAAAAAAAACAAATCAGTCAAAAAAGCCCAACCGTTCAGCATAAGGAAAGAGAGGAGAAATAAAGAAAGAGAGGCTGAGTATAAGGCAGAAATACAGATCAGTATCAGCCTATAGTTCAGCCATGACTAGGAAAATTCAAAAACTATTTGTCCATTTCTCACTGGATCCAGTTTACGGGGAAATCATACATCAATATCAGCCTATAGTGGAGTTATTACTCGAGTGTTTTCCCTCTCGTTATCTACAATTGCTAATAAGCTTCCCAGTAGCCCACAAGACCTCTAGAAGACTAATGCGAGTGCGTCAAGATGTTGGAGAAGAAAAAAAAGCAGAAGTGGGAAAGCAAACTTTTATGGCTTTGTTCATGACGTCACTTATGGAGAAAACAAAGGCTCAATTGAAAAATCGATGGCCACATCCAACCTCCTACAGGAGAACCACCTCAAACCTACATTCATGAACACCTTAAAAGCAGAAGCCTTCCAAAATCATCCCACTAAGACGGCTTTTAGCTAGAATCCTACAAGACCTTCAAATATCACTGACGGGAGTTGCTACACTGCTTGCGATCGCCAAAAAAACAAACAAAAAACATTGTGTCTGAAAAACTGCCCTAAACATTACTGCAGATCTGTTGTGTGTAGAGAGCAATTCCTTTCCCGAGACGCCATCTTCCTTCAATTCACCTGGGCCTGAAAGACTACAACAGGAGTGTCCAAACTCTGTCCTGGAGGGCTGGTGTCCTGCAAAGTTTAGTTCCAACCACAATCAGACACACCGGGGCCAGCTAATCAAGCTCTTACTAGGCCACAGGTATCTAACTCAAGTCCTGAAGAGCCGCAGCTCTGCAGCTTTGCCCTATCAAACACAGCTGATCCAAATAATGGAGAAGTTCAAAAGAGTCATGAACACCTTCATCAGTTGGATCAGCTTTGATTGATTAGGGTTGGAGCCAAACTGTGCAGAGCTGCGGCCCTCCAGGAATTGAGTTTGAGGCTTTCTAAAAACATCCTTACAAATTTGTTGAAGCAAGTTGGAGCTGAAATCTTCAGGACACCAGTCCTCGAGGACCAAATTTGGACACCCCTGGTCTAGAACCAACAAGTAATTGCTGAGTAAAAGGAGCAGCGATTATTTATTAGCC